TTATGATTCGTCTCAACTGTAAAACCGTGAAAGTGACAATATTTTCAAAACTTTGGATCAAACATTTTTCAAAACTCTTTTAATTGATATTTTCATAACTTTGAAGATAAAAGAGAAAGAAAAACATTTTTTTCAAACAAGACAGTCTCTTTAGAGTGGATCTTGGTAAATGACATGTGACTTTTAGACACAAAACTCATGCTCAGAATCAATACTGTAGCAAGAAATGATGAACATTTGGGGCATCTTTGAAGATTCAACATCAAATATTGGGGCATTTTTGGATTCAACATCCTAATGCAAATTATCAGACCTTTTTCAGGAGATAAAATATAATCAATTCATGTTACATGCATCTTATGCATACATTTTAGAGCATCATATTTATCATTTTCCACATACATAATTTTTTGCAGCTTTAGAGTCAAGTTTCGACTTCAAGACGAAGGATACTCGATTCAAAAGCACCTTTAAAGATTCATGTTGGTTGCTTAACTCAGCAGCAAGAAGCTACACTTCGACCAACTCGACAAATTGAAAGTTTCTCTCGAACTCACAATTTGCTCGAGAGTAGATTTCAACTTCACAACAAATGATATCTAGCTCGAAGCCAAACAACCACGATTTCAAATCCACGACGGAGGATATCGTGCCACTCAAGACAACACAAGTTCAACTTCACAATGAAGGGACCACTGGTTGTCAACAAACGACTTCTCAATTTCAGAGCCAATTTCAACTTCACAACGAAGGATATTGGACTCCAGACAACGCAAGTTCAACTTCACGACGAAGGGACCGCTGGTTGTCAATAAACAATTTCTCAATTTCAGAGCCAATTTCAACTTCACAGTGAAGGATATTGGACTCCAGACAACGCAAGTTCAACTTCACAACGAAGGGACCGCTGGTTGTCAACAAACGATTTCTCAATTTCAGAGCCAATTTCAACTTCACAACAAAGGATATTGGACTCCAGACAACGCAAGTTCAACTTCACGACGAAGGGACCGCTAGTTGTCAATAAACAATTTCCCAATTTCAGAGCCAATTTAAACTTCACAGCGAAGGATATTGGACTCAAGACAACGCAAGTTCAACTTCACGACGAAGGGACTGCTGGTTGTCAATAAATAACTTCCCAATTTCAGAGCCAATTACAACTTCACAGCGAAGGATATTGGACTCCAGACAACTCAAGTTCAACTTCACGACGAAGGGACCGCTGGTTGTCAACAAACAACTTCTCAATTTCAGAGCCAATTTCAACTTTACAACGAAGGATATTGGACTCCAGAGAACGCAAGTTCAACTTCACGACGAAGGGACAGCTGGTTGTCAATAAACAATTTCCCAATTTCAGAGCCAATTTCAACTTCACAGCGTAGGATATTGGACTCAAGACAACGCAAGTTCAACTTCACGACGAGGGGACCGCTGGTTGTCAATAAATAACTTCCCAATTTCAGAGCCAATTTCAACTTCACAGCGAAGGATATTGGACTCCAGACAACGCAAGTTCAACTTCACGACGAAGGGACCGCTAGTTGTCAACAAACAACTTCTCAATTTCAGAGCCAATTTCAACTTCACAACGAAAGATATTGGACTCCAGACAACACAAGTTCAACATCACGACGAAGGGACCGCTGGTTGTCAACAAATAATTTCCCAATTTCAGAGCCAATTTCAACTTCACAGCGAAGGATATTGGACTCAAGACAACGCAAGTTCAACTTCACGACGAAGGGACCGCTGGTTGTCAATAAACAACTTCCCAATTTCAGAGCCAATTTCAACTTCACAGCGAAGGATATTGGACTCCAGACAACACAAGTTCAACTTCACGACGAAGGGACCGCTGGTTGTCAACAAACAACTTCTCAATTTTAGAGCCAATTTCAACTTCACAACGAAGGATATTGGACTCCAGACAACGCAAGTTCAACTTCACGACGAAGGGACCACTGGTTGTCAATAAACAATTTCCCAATTTCAGAGCCAATTTCAACTTCACAGCGTAGGATATTGGACTCAAGACAACGCAAGTTCAACTTCACGACGAAGGGACCGCTGGTTGTCAATAAACAACTTCCTAATTTCAGAGCCAATTTTAACTTCTCAGCGAAGGATCTTGGACCCCAGACAACACAAGCTCAACTTCACGACGAAGGGGCGGCTGATTGTCAACAAAATTTCATTCAGAGTCAATTTCAACTTCACAGCGAAGGATATTGGACTCGAGACAACACAAGTTCAACTTCACAACGAAGGGACGGTTGGTTGTCAACAAATAATTTCCCAGTTCCAGAGCCAATTTCAACTTCACGACTGAGGATATTGGACTCAGAACAATGCTACTTACTTGGATTTCAACTTCACGACAAAGGATATCCAATTTCAGGCTCAACTTCACGACGAAGGGGCCACCCGCGGTTTCAAATTCACGACGAAGGGAATCGTGCACACAAGCATCATCCATCTTTAGATTGGATTTCAACTTCACGAAGAAGGATATCCAACTCAAAGAAGGAGTATCTGTCAACAAAGACCTTCGAGTTCGACTACGCTCAGCTCCAAGACACATCATTTACAGCATAACTCAAGGCTAGAAGGGTTATCTGCCATCAAAATTGTCGAGTTCGATTCCATTCAGCTCGATGACACATCAATCGCACTACTTTCCAGTTGCAGTCGAGGTTTTCAAGTCGAGAAGAGGACCTGGGTTAACCGTGCTTTAGTGACAAGCAACCATTTTCAAGCAAAAGTTATCTGTCAATGAAGATTTCTCAGTTCGATTCTGATCCAAGGTCTTTAAACCGAGAAGAAGACCGAAGGGCAACGAGAAGCCACGTGCTGATTCAAATTCCGAACTACGGCTTCAATTTCATATCATTTCAAGATGAACTCGGCTTCACGACGGAGGAGTCATCCGTAACTCAATTCGACAGGGAGTTATTGAAACATCGGAGTCAATTTTCAACTTCACCGAACGAAAAGTGTGTCTTTTAATCTTTGCCCTATCCCCGTTACACGACTATGGACAAAGAGGGGCAGCTGTCAACGCACCTTTTCGTCCTACTAGGATTCAAACTCCTAAAAATAGGATAGAATTTTGCTAGGATTCAAACTCCTTAAAATAGGATAAAGTTCTACTATGATTTAAACTCCTAAAGATAGGATCCACAAGCACTATAAATAGTCATTGTAACTCACTATTGTAGGAGACGATTTACAGACAAAATACAGAGGAAAACACAGAAAATACAAAGGCAAAGCTATTGTAAACGATTCGAAAAGGAAATAAAAGGTAGCATTTTTTTTGATTCGTTCATTTCTCGCATGTGCACGTTATTTTTTTTGAGATTTGATTCCAATAACCCAAAACGTGGGTTGCGCCGATGACAAAAAATGGGTGGGGTTTCGAAGTTTCGAACCTAGATCTACCCCGAGGCGTGTTCATTTTTTATCCCCCTAATGCGTAATATCAACGTTAATTGTCTTTCAAATTTGGCCCCAATCTTTATTTTTCTTTATATTAGTCCTTTTATTTATTGTATAGATATTTTTATTTATTTATTATTTACATTATTGTCATTATATAAATATATACACGTATGTTCTTTTAAATGATTTTAAATTGATTTTTTTGCACTATATATTATTATTATCTATACATATATTTTTTATTTATTTATATTCATTTGGTTATTTTTTAATACTATATTTATTATTTATATATATATACTTTTTTTTAAAAAATATTTTACTTATAAGCGTATTATTACTATATATATGTATATAATTGTAATTATCTTTATTTAGTTTTTTTTACTTTATCATTATACATATATATGTATGTTTTAAATAGTTTATTTATAAGCCAATTATCATTATATGTATATTTTATATTTGGTTTATATATATTTTTTTGTTTTTGGTTTTTTTATATTATATATTTTCATATTACTATTATTATTGTTATGATTATTATTTTTCTATTTTACTCATTTATATATATATATTAATATTTCATTTATTTATTTATTTATTTTTCCTTTTATTTTTTTTCTTATTTTTTTTCTTCATTTTTTCATTTATTCATTTTTTCCCTCTGACACATCTTATGACTTTTTAAGGGTATTTTCATCAATTAATCAGAAGTAAGTAATTCATTATCAAATTTTACCTTTTAATTTAAAATTACAATTTTCTTAATTAAGACAACGGGAAATTACGTAGTACCGAAAGGGCGGTTCAAGGGTGCTAATCCTTCCTTAACCGTAACCGACTCCCGAGCCCGACATATTTATGGTAAGACGCAGATCAGGTAAGAAATAGGGTATCCGATCAACCCATTTATTTTTAAATAAATGATCGGTGGTGACTCACAATCCACATTTTTCAAGTCGAAGCCCAATCCCGGGGCCCAACCGAAATACGGTTACGACAATATAAAATATTTTTTAAAATTTTATATTTATAGACATAAAAAATAAAGATCGTACAGAATTCTAAATTTAATAAATATAAAAATCTTATTAATAAAAGACATCTAAATTATATTTAATACATAGAATTTTAATAATAATAGACATGCAAATAACAAGTATTAATAACATTTCAAATTATAAAATCAATATTTTTTAAAATCCTTTATGTATCATTTACTTGAAATTTGTGTGTGCAATGAGATACGTTGCTTGTGTTGGTAAAGGTTGAGTGTTTTTGTTCAAGTCTTATTATACTTAAAAAAGTATGTATATGTGAAATCATAAATTTTACTTTTATTTTGATATAAATCTTATAATATGTGAACGTTATTTTTAATATTTTTAATTATTAATGCATCTGTCGTATATTATCGTTCCTGATTATATATATATTGGTCTTAAATTATGGAAATGAAATGCCGTCACAAGAACCATGCAACATCACATAATTAAGCATATAAGAAAATCTACAGATTAATGTCACAAAATATTGTCTCCCGCCACTAGTATCGTAATTCATACATAAATTAAAAACAAAAAAAGAGGGGAAATAATTGCTAGCCAGGAAAAAATAGTTCAGTTCCTTAAATTTAACAAATTAAATTGGAAGGCATTGGGGATGATCTATTTATAATAATGGTAAGGAGAGGTAGCTTGGATTCGCATCTTTCGTTTTTGGAGGAAACGTTGAAGCGATCTCTTCATGGCAAGTGCCGTGCTCGGGCTATTTACAAGAGATTTTAACGTGGGCGACGGCGGTTCCAATCCCGTCGGAGTTTTTATTGTTTCATCCATTTCCCGGTTTGCTAGCATTAGAATGGCTATCGCCTGCAATTCCATGTGCAAATTTTCATTAACAACAAATCTAAAAGGAATGAAACATTTAAGTGAATAAATCAGCAATGACCCTTTCATTGAACAAACACGTTAGATTTTGGAAATACAAAACAATTCCTGAAAATTTTTAAAACATTAAAGATCCTCTTCACGTCGGTGTTTCTTTTTTCATATTGAATTCTAATGCATGAATGTTGTATAAAGTCTGGAGTAGAACCAAATACTCACATGAAGCTCTGTAACATCACAAACGCAAACTCTTCCATTGTAAAAGATTGTTAGCTGTTGCTGATGGTTTTCTGGGCTTTCTTCCATCCTTGGATCACCAAAAGAGAAAAACCCATCAATTATACTATTCATTTCTCTCACTACTAATCAATGTTTATGCGAAAAACAAGTGCATGCCTACAATTACATACATAAATATATAAACATGAAAGAAAAAGTGAAGAAATACATACATGTCGCCGGTGTAACTAGAAGGAAGAAGGCCAAGTTCCAAGTTGCAGTTTCGTCTCATGTTAAACTCTTGTTTCAAACAAAGCGACTGAGAGAAGAGAAGGAAGATGAGAAAGTGGTGGTGGTTTTGGCGAATATGTATAAACGAAAATTCAAAGAGAAGAAGAAAACGATAACATGGAGGGGAAATGGTGATCTACCTACCAATATATATATATATAGTGAAGGGTTGGAGTTGGGTGGTGGTGGGTACAACTGTTTGAACACGCTCTGCACAAAAACAAGACGCACAACACGACTAAGAAAAACTGTTCAAAATAGCTCTGGGATTTTTCTCTTCTTAATTTAAGCACGTGGAACATGATATTCTTTAGAGTCGGCATTACTTTCTTTCTTTTTTTTTCATGAAAATTGAATAGTCTTGGGGCGTCGACCATGGGCTTTTTATATTACAACAATAGGCTTAAAGGGGTAGTTTTTCAATTAAACAAACAAGAAAAAAATAACCCATGGGGCTTTATGAAATTAAGAAAGCCATCTTTTAAAAGCGATGTATCTTTCCATTATACGACACAGAAATGGGTTGGATTTTTCTTGCGGGGATTGAGGAAATTTCGTGATGTTTTCTTTCTTTCTTTCTTTTTGGTTTGCTTGTCCTATTAATATTAATTATCATGAATAATTTTTATTATTTTAGTACTGCAATACTTCTAATTAATTATATTTTTTATTGATTATCATGAATAATTATTATTATTTTAAGGGACAGGTGTCACCTGCTACCCAATTTTTTTTTGTTAATTATCATGAATAATTTTATTTTATATTTGTTTTGCTCTCGACCAGAAAATGGTTTCAGTGCCGGAATCTATAAGTTTACTATATTATAATTTTCCTTAATTTATAATCAAAATAAGAAAAAAAAACTTTATATTATATGATCTTTTATCGCATGGAAGTATATGTAAATGTGATAAAGATTTCTATAAGACACGTTTCTATATAACTCACAAGAGGCATGTCAGGGAAAATAAAATAAAAACATGTGATCACATTATAACACCAAATGAAATGGGTTAGGCTGCTCTTTATTTTGATAAAAGAAAACAAGTAAAAAATATAATTCTTGCGAAAACAGGAAAACAGAAAAACAGAAACAGAAAAGGGAAAATCTTGAATTTTAACCACATAATACTATAACCAGACAATTGAATAGCTTAGTGGATCAAGAGCCGTTTTGTCTCTTTTTACCAATATTTATTTATTATTATTATTATTATTATTATTATTATTATTATTATTATTATTATTTTGTTTTTGTTTTTGTTTTGTTTTCAGGTTACAAGACCCAACATGCCCGAACCTCAATTACAAGCCAACTTGACCCGATACTCAAAGCCCAAACTCGGGCCTAATTACAAGATGGCACATTTGGTCTAATCTAATCCTAGTCATTTAGGGTTTTTAAACCCTCGTTTTCCAGCCTCAACTTGCTGCCGCCGCCACAAAAACCAATCCCAGGCCACCGCCGTTTCGTCCACTCCCAGGCCACCACCGTTTCATCCACTCCCAGGCCACCACCGTTGATACCAACCGAAGGTCCTGCAAATGTCAGAGAGCCTAGAACAGATCACAAGCAACCCAAGACGAAGCCAAACACGCAAAAACTATTTTTTTAGTTGTAATGATTTCATATGGAAAAAAAGAAAAAGAAAAGCTCAAGCTGTAAATCGGGCTTATAAATAGTCGAACCAAATATGTAAACAGGGTTCAGACCCTCTAGTTTGGAAAAGCAATAAAAGAGCATATAATCAAATTTGTTTGAGGTATATTTTTTATGTATGTTTTTTCCAGATTCGAAAACCAAAGAAAAGATTGAAAAAATAAAAAATAAAAATAAAAAAAATAAAAAAATCTTTGCATGCAATAAAAAACGAGAGGAGGTAGAATATTTTACCTGAGTCGGAGAGAGTCTTCACGGCGGTCGGATCTCGCGAGGAGGTTGGAGGCCGAACGGTTGGGGTTACTTTAGGTTCGGTTAGGGTCATTTTTAAGGAGTTGTAGCCCTAGATATAGGCTTAGGGGTCTAGTTCCGAGCGTTTAGGTCATTTTGGGATTTCAACCACCGTGTGCGGCGGCTGGTGATGGTTCAAGCCGGCCGCCAGTGGGTCAACCGAAGCAGTTGAGAGAAAAAAAGAAGTTTTTTTAAAAACCGAGTAAGAACAAAAAAAATAAAAGCTTAAAGGTGTATTTATAGGGGTAAGTTAGGGGAAATTTTACATAGGTCCCCCTAACTTATGCGTGTTTTTACATAATAGTCACCGATGATCATTTTTGTTATTTTCCCATTTTATATTTGTGCTTTGCAATATTTGGTATAATATCAATTTAGTCCTCATACTTTTAGCATGTTTTTGCATGTTAGTCCATGTAGGGACTGTTTCTATAATTTACCCTTTTTATGTCTGATATTTATTTTTAGGGATATTATCTGTATAGCCCCCTATATTTTTGCATGTTTATATTTCGAACCTGAATATATGTTTTTATTTATTTTAATTCGGCCATGTAATTTTAATTTATTTATATTTAACCCCATGTTTTATTTATTTTTATTTTAGCATTTAATATTGTAAATGGTCATCTTAGTCCCTTGTATATTTTATTTTAATTTAATTTTGGCATGATAGTTTGATTATTTATGTCTTAGTCCACCTTTTATTTTTATTTTAATGTTTGCATGTTGTTTGCATTTTAATTCATTTTAGTACTAATTAATTATGTATGATAGCCTCATAAGCATCCCTTGGCTCGATTCGAAATAAATTGACTAAGGATAATATTCGATCATTTTACTATTGTCGTAAAGTGACTGTCTTAACGTATAAAAAAGTTACTTTCGGTAATTTTAAAATGAAAGTCTATCCCATTTAGTGACACGAATTAAATCGATTTCTTTTTTGAAATTTGGGGATTGAGAAAAAGACTATGTTCTTTTAATTAAATTCATCGAGAAAAGACTGTTAGATCAAATCTAAGGTCTCGACTCGAGATATTTAAATAATTGAACATCCTTATTCTCATTAAATATCGGCAAAGTAAATAATTAATTCCTTGTTTGTTATACTTTTTATTTGTTTTATTTTTGCATGTGTTTTCCGATAGATTTTCAGAACAATAACATTCGAATCGACATTGAGAATAGTACTATCTTTTCATTTTGGTCCGAGTAATAAATGTCTGCTTTAAGGTACGAGAAGTCATTTATTCTCGATTGGAAATCATTAGTATTATCTTTTTTTCCGAATTGCTATGTCATTTTAAGACAAAATGGTAATATATCTTTATTTCAATTGGAGTAATAAATGACATTTTTAATGGACAAAAGGTCATTTATTCTCGAATGGTAATAATTAGATATTATTGTTTTCACTTTTAAAATTATTTTGGGTGCCGTTATATTATGAGATCATAAATTAAAATAGACTCGAACTTGTAAATTTTTTTGGCCGGGGAAGATCTATCAACTCTCCATAAAATCCAAAGCCTTTTACAAAAGTACTTCAAACTAAAGGAGTTGGGCCCCTACGTTATTTCCTAGGCTTTGAAATTGCTAGGAATAACTCTGGAATCATCCTATCCCAGAAGAAATATGCATTACAGTTACTAGTAGATACATGATGTTTGGGTACCAAGCCAGCCGAATCATCAATGCTTTTATCCTCGAAGTTGAGTGCAAATGAAGGAGAATTACTTCCTGATCCCCAGGAGTATCGTCGATTAATAGGTCGTTTGTTATACTTGACTAATACTAGGCCAGATATTGTCCACACTGTCCATTTGCTGAGCCAGTTTGTATCCTCACCTCGCCTGCCTCATATGATTGCCTTAAAGCATCTTCTGGCATATATTAAAAGTTATCATGGTCTTGGTTTGTTTTTCCCAGTTCAATCCACTAACCACTTGAGCATATTTATTGACTCTGACTATAGATCCTGTCCTGATACAAGATGCTCCACAACTGGTTTTTGTACTTTTTTTGTAACAGTTTGGTATCCTGGAAATCAAAGAAACAAGCTGTCCTTAGCTGATCTTCTTGTAAGGCTGAATATCGAGCTATGGCCATGGCTACATGTGAATTAGTTTGGCTCGTTTCTTTGCTCTCTTTATTTCATATGTATGTTGATTTTGCAAGATTATATTGCGATAATCAGGCTGCAATCAACCTTGCAACTAATCAAGTGTTTCATGAGAGAACAAAGCATATAGAAGTTGATTGTCATTTTGTACGATACAAGGTGAAAGCAGGTTTTCTGAAGTTGTTTCACGTCCGTTCCTCAGACCAGTTGGCTGACATCTTCACCAAAACCCTTCGGCCTCCAATACATCGAGCTTTCATTGCCAAGTTGGGTATCTTTAACATACACACACATCCAGCTTGAGGGGGGTATTAGAGTATATCAACTTCAGCTTGTAATCTTTATAGCTTATACTTGATTAGTTATCAGCTTGTAGTTAGTTAGTTTGTTATCAGTTAGTTAACTGATTTGTTAGCATTAGTTTTTTGGTTAGTCAGTTAACTTTATAGATGTATATAAACCAGTCTTGTAATCCTTCTTCAATGCAAGAAAGCATTACTCATTTACAGCTTCTTCGATCGTTATAAGTCATCTCAATCTGTCAACTAGATGTTGTGGACATGTATGTCAGGTGATAAATTAAAAGGTTGTCAGTTGAGTCCTGGGTGTATTCATCATGCATCTATGTATGTATGCGTATAGGTTTTCGTGTGTGTATAAATATTCTCTGTTTCTGTGTGTTTCACAATCATACTAGATATCACATGTTTTGTTTTTTCTTGAACAAATGTTAACAACATCATGTCAGTATCTTTTATCAGTGATATATTTAACTAGATGTATTTTGTACTCTAGGCATGAGCTTTTACTTTTTGAAGCTCTGCAAGAGGGTTTAGAAGAAGAAATGGAGAGAGATCCCCGTGTCTGTGTCATAGGTGAAGATGTGGGTCACTATGGAGGCTCATACAAAGTGTCCAAAGGACTGGCAAAAAAATTTGGGGACCTTAGGGTTCTTGATACCCCAATTGCTGAGAATTCCTTCACTGGCATGGGATTTGGAGCTGCTATGATTG